CCGATTTTCGAAATTCCAGGAGTTGTCGCTATATTTCCGGCATTTTTCATGCAAAATGGCATTTTTTGCCAAAAATTCAATTAAATCGGCTCAAGCTGGGTTTTCGCAAATGCCTTTCAAAAAAACTGTCATTAGGCTGCCAGAATAGGCTTAAAAATTGATAAACTGTGCTTTTGCATGAAACCCTTTAATCGGATGCGGATCAGAAACTCAGTTCATTTCGAAATAAGGGTTAGTAAATTTAATAAAATTCTGGAATTTCGAAAATCGAAATCAGCTCGTCGAGAGCTGCGATAGATACCTAGACTGAATGAATGAGTTCTGACTGAATATGAAATTGATTAAATCAATAAATTTACAGGCCGGTCGACAAGGCGATGGTGAGCGCACGCGCTACATCTTCCGCGGACGCACCGAGGGCGAGCTCCCGAAATCGACCACCCTCTGCGAGTCGCCGATTTTTAGCGTCGAGATTTCGGTTTGGTTTTTAGATTTTTGCAAGCTTTACCAAACATTTAGCACGAGAAGATGAGCGACGATGCGCTGTACCAACTGCTCGGGCGAATGAGCCAGATTGGCTGCATGCCGATTTTCTACACACTCCTCGACCATAAATACGAGCTGGTCGCCTACAGGGACGATCTCGGGTCGGGTTTTCTAAACCGTTTTTCGTCTAGAGCGTTCATTCCGCCGAAATTGAATGAATTAATGAAATCCCTTTTCATCACCTTATTTTAGAGACCCAAAAATTATGGCATACACGCCGTTGTTCGATAGTGGCGAAAACTTGCTCATCGAAAAGGTATATTTGGTTAGCCCGTTGAAACCGTTGTGCAATTCAGGTGCTCAAAGAATCGAAGGGAATCGGCAGCGATGAAATGAGGCTGTTCCGCCTTAAATTTCTGCTTGAAGCCGTCATGTCACGCGGGGCCCCGGCTAAGGTACTTTTTGAGCGTTTAGAAGCTGGTTTTTTTTGAAAACAAGTTTAGCTTTCGCGAAAGAAACTTTGCTTAGGACCCTACTTTAGGACCGCCTTCTTCGTCCCCAATTGAAGCAAGAGCACGGGGATTTTTGGACGAGCCTCGCCCTCAATTATCTGCGCGGCCCGGAGGTGAAGCGGCTCGGAAATTTAATAACGTTGTGTTTTGCAGAAAGTCGAGCGCGCGCTGGAGGACCTTGTTGACTGTGTGGAGGATTTGCACCCGAATCGCACGCTCGCCGAAGCGCTGGAGTATTTGGTAAATTGAAGACTCGAAAATTTATTGGTATTTTGAGCTTGATCACCCCAGGGAGCGGCGTGAGCTCACCGATGCGATGCAGCGTGAGGGATATGTGAAAGTGCGAAAGGTGCAATTTTTTGGAACTTCCCATTTAGGAATTTTTAGATTGTCATCACGCCCACTCGCATGCTCTACATCCCCGCCGAGGTGCAAATGGGCAACCGCGTGCTGCGCGAATTTGGCGGCCCGGACGCGGAGAAGATGATCCGCGTCGTTTTCCGGTACGTAAATTTGTGTTGATGAAGTAAGGTACTTCCCGATTAGCGTTTTCTGCACTGCGTGACTGCAATTTCTCGAACACCGTACCTCGTCTAAAATTTTTATAGAGTTTTGCTGGTTTTTAGGATACGAAAAGTTCAACAATTGATAGGATTTTTCGAAAATTGTGACTTTTTGCGTCAGAAAAAGATGCCAAAGCGGTCCAAAAGTTGGATTTTTTGGGAGAAGCCTATAATTTCCTAACGATCAGAACTACTAAAATACCCCAAAATAAAGTATATTTATAACAGCTAACGGTGTCATCAATTTCAGGGAAGACAACGGCGGTCTTTTGCGTGCCATCGCGCGCCACGAGGGCATTCGGGCACGCGTTGGGACTTTTCTGGAGCACGGACCGGTCGTTGGAGGTTGGAGGGCTATTCAAAATGTAAAAAAAACTCCTTCAGGCCGAAAATTCGTGTTCCTGGGCCAATCCAACTCGCAGCTCCGCGATCAGGGCGCCTACTTCTACATGGGCTCCGATCGAGATGCAAAGTTGGAAAAATGTCATCAAAAAACCCCCCGAATTTTCAGTAAAATCCGCGCCTCGCTCGGCCAGTTCAACAAGCTGAACTCGGTGGCGAAAATGGTGGCACGAATGGGGCAGTGCTTCACGCAGAGCAAGGTTTAAAAAGCTTCTATAGTGAGTTTTTCGGCCTAGGAATCGCCAATCGAACTGCCGCGCAAGCAGTATGAGGAAGAAGCCGACTATTTCGGCGGCTCGGACTATGTGGACGTTAAAAAGTCTGGGTTTTATTATTAAAAACTGTTTAAAAGCTTTTTACAGCTATTTTTTTAGGCTAACCAAGGAAGAAGCGGCAAATCTAAAGGCCGAGGAGCCGTACACGTTCAGCGACGGGGTTGGCCGTATTTCGGAGAGCTACCTGAAAAAGGTAGGCTTAGCACAGTTTAATTAACTAATAAAATAATCAATCAATTGATCAAGATATACATTGATGAAAATTAATGCATTCAGATCGCCTCGATGAGCGACTACCGCTACAAAGATCACACACCATCTTGTGTCCAGGTGCGATTTTTGGCCCTCTAAAAACGAAATAACTTTTAGTTTCGCTACCGCGGCTTCAAGGGCATCCTGGTGATGGACCCGATGATGGACCGGGGCCGAAACTTCTTGGAATCGATCGATTTGGCGGTATTTTTGGAATTTAATTCTTAACATTTTTTTAGCCGTCCTCAAAAGCCGACCCCAAAGGCAAAAAACGAGCCAAGGAGGTCAACATCGTCTTCAGAGACTCCCAGAAAAAGTGAGGAATTAAATAGGACTGAAACCATCTTATTTTCCAGATTCGAAGCCCCGCGCAAACACCAGAGCGGCGAGTCCATGAAGTTCGAGGTGGTCAAGTTCAGCGGGCCGTCGCCCGTCTCCCTCAACCGTCCATTCATCAACATTTTGTGCCAAGTATGGAAATATAGCTGTGCGGATTTTTGTTGTTGTTCTAGGTAGCTGAACATCAAGGCCAGCAAGTGCACGACCGGGTGCAGGGCCGCATTCTGACGCTGCTTGACCACCACGCTGTTCGGTGCGCGAATGCTCTATGCGAAGAAAGAGAAGCGAGGAATCGGCTGTCGGTTCGTGATTTATCGTATACCTCGGAGTTTGGAAGAAAAGCAAGATGATTCGGTGCTTTCGCGTTAACGGGTGGGGCAACGTTTCCACCTGGGTTTTCCTAAAATAAATGCGGGCAGCAATTCCACGCTGGTATTTCCCTAACGTAAAAAACTTACGAATTTGAACCAAAAATTGCTTAATATTGTTTTTTTTCGAGCAGCAATGTTCGGCTTTCGCGGAAAATTTGAGGTTTCAAAAATTTTCCACGGTTTTGAGCGAATTAAATTTTCCGCGTTTCCGCTTTTTCACTTGAAGTATAGTTGAATTTTATTGAAAACGCTATTAAAATGCGTAATATTATCTTACTAGGCATATTTGAGATTATAGGCAAAATTTCGGTCCCCCCATAAATGCGTAAGCACCGAAGCAACAAAAATTTCCGCTTCCAGGACCTCCCCAACCGGATGCACCTCGAGCAGATGAGCCAAACGATCGGCATGCACCTATCTTCAGAGCCCTTCTTCCGCGCCCTCATCAAGGCCACCGTCAACCACTCATTAATGCGCGTTCTCGGCAAGGAGCAAATTGAGATCCCGATGGATCTGGGGCGCTCGATGTTCGGTGTTGTCGACGAGACGGGGTTGCTTCAGTATGGTCAGGTAGTGTTTTTCAAGTTTCACGTCACTTTTGCTTTTAGGTCTTCTTCCAATACTCCAAGAAAGGCTCAAAGATACAGAGCGCCGTTAGTACCAAAGTCATTCACACGGGTATTTTTTTGGTTAGATTTTACAGCTTGTTTTTTTAGGAAAAGTGCTGATCACCAAGAACCCGTCGATCATCTACGGAGACGCGCGGCTTTTTGAGGTGATTTTTTGACATTGTTTTGGTCTGGTTCTTTCGCATTATCGGGGGAGGGGGAGGAGTTTGTGGAGGAACTATTGATTTTCACTCGTAAATAGAGGAAGCGTTTTGAAACTGATTTTTCTTATGATTAAACCCAAAAAATCGATTTTTGTACCAATATTTCAACTAATAAAAAATTTTTGTTTGCTTTTTTCACTTGAAATCTGGTTAAATTTTAATAATAACGACTAATAAAATACCGGTTGATTGCGTTGGGCATTTCTGGATTCGTAGGAAAAAATTCGCCCCGTCGCCCTCCCCCATAATGCGCAAGAACCTATTTTTCGATTTACCTATTTCGATTTTTCTAACAACACTATTCCGAAAAATCCTAATCTTACATAGTATAGACAGTCGTTTCGAAATATGACCTTGAAAAAACTGTTGTCGAAAAATGGCGATGCGAGGTTTTTTTTGCAGGCTGTCGACATTCCCGAACTTCGCCATCTCGTCGACGTCATTGTATTCCCTCGGAATGGCCCCCGTCCGCACCCCGATGAGATGGCTGGTTTCTTTTTGCCCCGCTCTCACTAGAAATTGTTTCTCAGGTTCCGATCTCGACGGTGATGAATATTCGGTGATCTGGGACCCCGACCTCATGTTTGACCACAACGAGCAAGCAATGCGATACCCGAAGCAGCAATGCGAAACTACCGCCGAGCTGCAGCCGGATGCCTTCGTAAGCCTCTGTAGCTAATTATTTTATTTTATTTGAATTTTTAGCGCCATAAAATGGTCGACTATGTGATCCACTACATGACGCACGACACGATCGGCACCGTCTCGATCGCCCACCTCATCCAGTCGGATCACTACGGACTGTTCAGCCCGGTAGGGGGAAGCTTTTGGAAATTTTTGGCAATGTTGGCGCCAAATTTTTCCATTGTTTCGCTGTTTTTCGTGATTTTTGAACGTCCTTCGATAGAGGCTGGAAAAAAATGGTATGGTCTTTTAGGACACCTCAAAATATTGTAATATACAAAAGTTATAGTAAAAACAAAAATAACCTTTGAAAAGAGGGTCAGAACTCTGGTTTTCGACATTTTCACTATTTTTTTCTGGCATTTTAATACGTGGTTCGATCAGGCTCGAAAAATCTACTCTGAGCTTTAATTTCAGCTCAAAATGATGTAATGGAAATTAATTAGAGCAAAAAACAGTTTTTTTCAGGATTTTGGTCAGATTTTGGCAAAAAGAAACAAAATTTTATCAATTTTTCAGATCTCCGAAAAGCTGGCCCGCTTCCACTCAATGGCCGTCGACTTCCCGAAAACTGGCGTGCCGGCCCCGGAATTGACGCCCGATTGGGAGAAGGAGTATGGTTTTTGGATTTGCTATCATAATCGCGAAATTTTCTAATGCCCAAATTCCTAATATCGAAATTTCATTGTCGCAGCTTTTCCGGAGCTGACATGTTGACAGCTTTTTTATATAAATTTTGACATTCTGAATTTTCGGCGTTATGAAATTTCGTCATTATAGAATTTCGACATTTTGAAAGTCACTCGGGTTTTACTTGCTACTCTAAAAACTTATTGTCAAAATCCATCGAAATTTTCGATTTCAGTGAGAGCCAGACGGATACACTTTTCACTCCATGCCCCGGCACTAAATACACGCGAGCCCCGGATTTTATGCACCGCGACTTTGACCCGGCCTATCGTTGCCGACGAACCGTCGGAATGGTTTACCGGTAATTTGGGATTTTTGGGCGCTGAAATTCCACGTTTTTTAGAGGTATCAAAGAGATTCAGAAGATTGTTGAGGACTCGCTGGAGGGGGATAACGAGGTGAGACTTTTCGATTCGGCATTGTATAACATGTTTTTAGGTGAACATCGAGCTCGATCCGGCTTTCAACCACCCTGGATGGGAAAATATGAAAGAAGAAGCGGAAGCCGGGCTTATTGAGTGGTCCCAGGCGATTAAGGTATCGACCATCTTTCTAAACATTAAACGTTTTAATTGTAAAAAATGTTGGGGTTTTTCTAGACGTTCAACTAGGTTTTTTTTGATGCATTTACTTGGCGTAAGATAGTTAGAATTGGTTTACTTCTGAACCCTGATTTTTTTTAGCGCGTCTTGGACCACTACGGCGTGGCGTCCGCCGCCGAGATCATCACCGGCTGCGTGATGGCGATGCGCAACAAGGCGGCCGAAAGTGACGGTGATCAAGTCACCTATTTTACGACCAGCCAAACAATCGAGTCTACGGTAACAGATCCAATTTTGCGCTCAAAAAGCTTTTCAGATCACCCAGCTGTGGACGGCATTCCGGCGCAAGTTCTTCGAAATCGACCCGGAACTTGTAGGGGATTTTGCTAGATTATTGGCTGGCATCATTTTTATAGGAAAATCCCTTTAAATAAACTAAATAAAACTAAATAATAAACCAGAGTTTTAAAAAATTTGAAGGCTATTTCTCACTTTCTGGTCTCCAGTTTTTCGAAATTCTACTTGTCGAAAAAGTTCTTTTCGAAAACAGCATTTCCAAAATGCGATTTTTGATAAAATACTTTTGGTAAAATCGATTTTCAAAATTGTGCATTAAAATCGATTTGTTATTAAATTTTAGGGCCATCACATCGGCGACTACGAGATGCTGACCGAGCCGTACGAAGAGCACTGGGCCAACGAAGCTCATCCCTTGCACAGGTCAGCTTCTTTTTTCTGTCTTAGGATTCGTTCTCTAGGCAAGTCAAACAGCCGACGCCCGCAATGCTCCAAAAAGCAACCGCCTACTACAAAGTGGCATACGGTAGGTTTTTCGGGGTACTCGAGAACGTCCCGATTTTAGAATACGCAAGGCAGCAGCGCGGTGATCGCACGTTGTACCTCTCGTTCCCGTGGCTGGTCTGGGACCTGCTCGTCGCCCTGAAGAAGGACCGTTTCCGGCATGACATGGAAGCGGTGTATGAGGAAACGCAGGCCAAGGAGTTCAACGTGGTGTGATTTGTTAACTTCGGTTTTACTAAGTTTTTACAATGTCTAGAAACTCGGCAACTACGTGAAAAGCTACGCCCAAACGCACCCGGAAAGCGTCACCGCATTCTACCGCAAGATCAAGCCCTACCCGGCCATTATCGCCATTTTCAAGCGTGTCAAAGGTGCCTTGCTTTTTTACTTGGTTTTCATTTTTTTCTAGGCCTCCTCGATCTGTGCTACTTTGTGTCCGAGTGGGCACGCCGTTCGGAAGTGGAGTATTTTCGCGTAAATCTTGTTCTTGTGAAACTTTTATTTTTCCTTTAGGAAATCCACATGTCGTGCCTCTTCATCAAGTACGCCACCGGATGTTTGTATGCTGAGAATCAGCGGAATATTCTGGTATGCATACGGCTTAATTTTCTATTTTTATTGAGGCTAACGAACTTTAAATTTTGACTAATAAATTTTAGATTCGCTCAAAATTATCGTAGACCAAATTATTAAACCAAATGATTCAGGAAGAGAACAGCGAACTGCAGCCGAGGGAATGGGGCACGATATTGATCGATTTCTTCAAGGTTATGCATTTTTTATAAAAAATGATTTTTTTTGTTCAGCAACTCGCCAGTCGCAAATTCCGCAACCGCAAGATGCTCGCGTTTGACGAATTTGGGCTGAACTCGATTATGATCAGCGACGAATGGATACCATTACATGAGGTTGCTTTTCACTAAACTCCTTGAATTCATCGTTGCAGACCGCCGCCCGCGCCTTCTACAGCCTCGCCTTCTCCGGGCAGTTCGAGTCGCTGATGGGCGAGACGGGACATCAGGGCCCTGGCGGCCAGCGCATCTACGAAGACACCCCGTTCCTCATCGAGTTGCCGCGTGGGTTTTTGTGTTTGATTTATCGCCAGAATGCCGAATTTTCGAAATGCCGGAAAATCATGATACCGAATTTTTATAATATCAAATTTCATAATGCCGAGTTTTTCGAATACAGAATTGCAACTCGGCAGATTATTTGATGCAAAATTTGGTTAATTTGATGAAAAAATCCCATTAGATTAGCATATCGCAATTCGGCGTTATGAAAATTCGGTATTGTAAAAATTCGGCATTATGAAAATTCGGCCTTATAAAAATGAAATTTTTCTGACAAGGATCCGTTTTATGACCTACCTATATTTTGGCTTTTTTTAGAAGTCGGACCCCAGCTGGCCAACATTGAGAAGAAGCTCATCGAGAAGCTCGGCCTCAAGGACTTGCTGCTGAGGGCGTTGCCGGACTCTCGTGCTCAGAGTACGTGATTTGTCGTTGTACATAGCGCTATCCTCTGTATTAAATCCTTAATACCCCATCCATTACCTTTTTTTTGTAGAATTCGGTGGTGTGCGTGTCAGCGCGCTGGGCTGCGCCGCGTCGTTGCGCCGTCTGCGCGAGGCGCTGATGCTCGACCCGATTATTCAGGTATCATTGTTTTTTGTCGCATTTACGGATGTTTTTTGCAGTACGAGCGCTACGGGCCCGGCATCGACGCGGAATACGCGAGCCGAGTCCGCACGCGCGTCAACGAGCTCATCGCACCGCAGATTGTGCCCGAAATTTGAAGCTAACCCTCGATGTATTAGTTTTTTTTCTGTGACATAGCTCTGTGATTTTTTTTGTACCTAACTCTTAACCTTTTTTTGCGACCGGGGATGTCGTTGTGTGCATCGTTTTTCGGGTGAAATATCTGATCTGATTTTCATGTGAATTTAATAAAATATCGGACAGAATTTTGTTGTTGGGTATTTCTTTTTAGTGCTTTTTTCTTAATTAATTCTGATTTCTGGTCTTTAATCCGAGTTTTAGGAACCGGTTTTTAGGAAAACATGTTTAAGCATCATTTTATCGATATTTTTCTTTTTTTTAATGTTTGGCGCATTGAAAGCGGATTTTTCGGAGCTGGTTTCGTCCTAAAAAGCATTGTCTTAATTGGGCGTGCGTCCGTAACTGTCGATTTTGGCGTAGGCGTAACTATGGTATGATCGTCCTGTGCTAGCGTAACGTAATTTACAGAAGGTCCGCAGTGTACTCCATACCTAACGTATCCAAATCAGCGTAAAATGCTGCCAATTTCGTAATTCCACTCAGGACCCATTTTTTGCAGGCTAATCCCACGCTTTCCATCATCCGGTTTTGATGTGATTGTGATGGAGGGGTCCGTGGTGAAGTGGGACATGTGTGTATTTCTGTCTTCTTCTGTCTGTCTGTCTGCCTGTCTCTCTCTCGCTCTCTCTCTCTCTCTCTCTTCTGGGGGTGCGAGCGGCGCGTGCCTCTGATATGTTTGCGGATCGGTTGGTGGTGGCCAGTTAGGCGGTGGTGAAGCCGGAGGGATCGGTGGTGGTGGGGGGTAGAGGCTGCACCGGAAGGCCCATCCCCACTAAGTGGGCCCACCACCAAAAACTCGTGCACACACGCCGGTCATCCGGAAAGCGACGCGCCGTTCGGCGCGCGCAGCTTTTTTCTAAGGAATTTTCAAGTGGATTTTGATGAATGTACCGTATCTAGATTTACTGTACCTACAACACCATTGTTGACGCCTTTTACTTTTTCCTTTTAAAGCCTTTTTTTTAGCGCTAAAGTTGACTAAATTTTCTTACAGTAACAATGCAGCAACAGTCCCCTGGCGGCTCGAATTTGCAGAAAATCCCGAGCGGAATTTACATCCGAAAAGGCCACGACTGGCCCCCGAGAAGGCCGACGTCCCCACCGGTATTTGAAGCTCTTTAAAGGGGTTGGCAAGACAGGACTATGGGTTTTCTGGAATCAAAAGTGAGCTGAGCACTGCGCACGTAATTCGAGCAAGAATTTCTGCGCGTTTTCGTTGGTTTGATGCGTAATGCACAACGACGTCTGCAAGGAGGTCAACCGCGGGGCACAAACTCGTTTTTCGATTTTGTTTTATTGTCTTTCTCCCGATCGAAAGCCTTCGTTTTAGGTCGAGGCTATCAGTCGAGAAGACTCTATCGTGATCACAGCCACAACAAGCCGAGGCCTTGACCCAACCGCTCTGAACTTGACGAGGACGACGGCCAGACCGGCGTACTCGGTAAGATTTTTGGAAAATGTATTTTTATAGGTACATGGGTAGCATTTCCATTTCAAGGTACCCTCTCGAGATCCTCCGGCCTATCCCCCGCCCAAGATCATCTTCCCCACATTTGAACAGCTGGATCGGGAACCGCGAAGCGGGCTTTCTCCGCTGTCGGTCGATAATCTTAACAACAGTGACTATGCCGAGTTTTCACCAAAAGGTAGGAGATGAACATTTACTCACCATCTACTGGTTAAATTCAAGTTTTGATTTTACCTGAAGATTCAGACTTTTTTATTCAGACTTGGACTTTTTATTTATTAAAAAACATTTAAACTTTTAATATACTTTTCAGCACCTCCGATTAAAATCGCGCCGCTCGGCTCGATAAGCGAGACGGAAAATGTGACGGAGCAGAGCTCTGTGGCTGAACGGGAAGTTGGCGTCGAGGTGGTTGCGGTTAGCCCGGTAATTTTTTTACTATTTGATACTGTAAAACAAATATTAGAGCTACAGTATTTACTTTGGAATGTTAGTTTACTAGAAAATATTAAATCAAAAATACCTTGAATCCCTTCAGGACCAACGTGCCGAAGTCGTCTCCCCAGCCGGTTTTCCGTCACCACCACCGAATCGGGACACCGACAGTCCGTTTTTACCCTAAACTACGCTTTTAAAGGGACTAGAAACCGGCAGAAATTTTTTTAGACACCCTTTCATGTAAATCTTCAGTTTTTTTGCCTTTCCCGTCCCTTTAAAGTGTTGAAACCCTTGCGTGTCGCACAACCACCGCTTCGTTCCCGGCTTTTATGCTCATTTTTGCACCTCCAGCTCCTGCTCCCGACCACCACCAGCACTTCCATCACCACCTCCACTTCCAACCCTCGCCAAACCCATCGGCTACTGAGTTTGGTGATGAGCACAAGGTTGATGCTCAAGCAAACTTGGCAGCGAGTTCAAGCAATCCCCCACACCATACCCACCGCCCCATGCTTGTCCCCCGGCTTGTTGAGCAGCTTCGTCGGACCTTGTCGAGTGAGTTGAAGGAGACAGAGAAAGAGAGAGAGAGAGAGAGAGAGAGAGAGAGAGAGGGAGAAAGGGCAGGGGGGAGAGAGAGAGCAAGAGAGAGATAGAAAGAGAGAGAGAGAGAGAGAGAGAGAGAGAGAGAGAGAGAGAGAGAGAGAGAGAGAGAGAGAGAGAGAGAGAGAGAGAGAGAGAGCGTAAGCGAGTGTGAGCACGATCGAGAGAGCGGAAGGCATAGAGCTAGAGAAATCGAATGAGAGGGATAGAACGGCAGAACGGCGGCTAGATCAATGAGCAACAGCTCCAGATCATCTCTAGAAACTGGAATATTCAGAAACTGACGATTTCGCGTCGAGACGCCTCGAATTTCCTACGAACACACAATTCGGGCGGAATCGGGGGTAAGCAAATTTCACATTTTTGCACTTAGGAACCTACTTAGCCCTTTATTTTATGTGAATTTAATGACGTAATCGTTATCAGCAAAAAAATACATAGTTTTGCCAAATTTTACAAGTTTTCATGCGTAAATAGCAGTCGCTGCATGTCGTAACCGGTTGGAGCCATCTCAAGTTCAAAAAATTTTTGCTTCTGATACAGATGCTTCGAAAGAATTTTCTGGCCTTATCTCCTCTGGCCAAATTCAATACCGCATTCTTTCCGCTTCCGTTAATTTTTGAAGTGCTCGACATTCCAACCGAATTTTCGAGTCTTTACCGTCTGGCGGCTGGTCGATGCGGTCCATTAATCCTGGGCTTGTTTACTCTTCATTATCATCCCAGGTGGCCTCTCCTAGCCAGGGGGGTAGTGACCGCTACGGTGATGCCCTCGCTTCCAGGATGCGCGTGTTTGTCCCCCACGCGTTTGTCTCTCTCTCCCTCTGGGGGCGGCGAGCTACTGTAGCCAGATGGGCTGAAGTGACAGGGCGGTGGGCCCTTGTGAAGCATTTGAGACCGTCACTTTGGGAGAACGACTGTTGGGGGCGGTTAGCAAATATTAGGGACCATTGTGGGGGATTAGCCAGTTAATCATCATCAAAGTATTCATCAAAATTTAGGCGAAAAAAAGCGCACAAACGTAACTCTAAAACCATGGTCTGGGTCTGAAACCTGAATTTTTGAGGTATTCGAGCTTTTCAAAAGACCGGAAAGCTAAAACTGCCGTCTTGGGATGGCTAGAAGTAACCTTACGAGTTACAGGGATGCCCAACCTTTCGCGGCTCAAAAAGGAAGAACCATGCCGGGGGGTCGAACCCGGGACCCCCGTTTTGTAGGCCTGGATGCTATCCATTAGGCCATAGTGGCAAGCCATCGGATGGGATGGGGACGCCACAAGAGGGAAAGGTATCCGAATTCTGTGCGGCATTGGGCCGCCATTTCCGCACAAAATCGAGCGTCATTTGTACTGCCCGGAATCCATAACTATCTATTTGCCGCCAAAACCTTGGGTATCCCTTTAAGAGAAAAACAAGGTCGTGAATGCATCACAGATACTTTCAAGAATCAGAAAAATTTTGTCGACATTTTAGACTGCCTATAAAGCGTGGAATCTCAAAAAAGCTTGATAAATGAAATTCACGATTTTTCAGTCCCTTCTCAACATGCACGATGATTCTGGCGGTACTCTTTGGTCTCGTCCTCCTGACTGCAATCGGTATATCGCCAGTAAATTTGAATTTTGGTATTTTAGGGCTCTTCATCGCGTGGGCCGTGACGAGCGACGGGTTCCACAATTTGGGGAAATCTTCTGATGATTGCGCTTCGAAAGTTTGCATTGATGCTGGTGCGTTTTTCTAAGGTTTTGAGGTTGCAAATGATGCTAATCTATTTGTTTAATGCCGTTAATTTTACTAAAATATAACCTTAACAAAACCTAAAAAAACAATACAAGCTTAAAAAATATATTAGCAAAATCACTCGAATTCAAAAATCTAGTTTAGAAGCTATTTCTTGATAGAAACTTTGTGACAAGTAAATTATAACATTAATAAAAGCATATAAGCACGAAAAACAAGAAAATATATTTCAACAGCAAGGAAATATCACTAAAATTGTTTTCAACCCCTTTTCTAAACACAAAATGGTTCTAGGCAATTTATAGCAGTAAAGTAGTACGAAAAAGATCCAGGAAATTGTATTTTTTGGCCGCTCCTCCTTGATTGTTCTTAATTAACTACGTCAAGTGTAGCGTCGCATTGTCACCCTTTTTTTGTCGCAGCCACTAATCCCTAACACTTTTCAGTGCCTTGCCTTACCCGCCCTTGCCTACTAAACGGTGAGCGTTACGCGGATAACTGCATGCAAATTAGGTTCCAAAAACCGAGAATGAAGCGTCGAAATTTAGCCTTCCGGATCAGTTCGTACGTGGACGAGACAGTGCCGGCTTGCCAGAATTTTTATCGATATTCATGCGGGAAGTATCATCAGCAGAATTTGGCGAAACAAGTGACCTATCAGGAAGAGCTGGAGGAGAATACGTTGACGGCTATTTTGGGTGGGTTTTTGGAGTATTTTTGGATTAAAGGTACCTGGAAGGCGAGAAATTTACAGCATTTCATTTTTTTGATGATGATAATTGCTAAAATAGCCGATGAGAAATAATAGTTTTTCGAGAAATTTATTTTAAGGAGCCGTGAAGGAGTAGTTACAATTTTCCAGAAATTGCCAACGCGATTGACTTGAACCTGCCGGTCACCCAGATCCAATCGGCCGGCAAGCAGCTTTTCGATGGGTGCATGAAGAATGCACTAAGGTGAGGCTCTGAGAACCAGAAGCGGAAGCCGAAAAACTATAACAATTTGTGGTTTGTAGGTCTCCTAAAAGTGTTCCTGATATCATAAAATGCTGCAATTTTTCGCGCACACAGTTTCGATTTGTTTTGTTTGGATTCGTAGGAGGCGGCAAGATGAGTAAATTATTTCAAAACAGAAAGGGTAGTTTGTAGCGTTCTAGGCAGCGGGTTAAATTCTGCCTCTGCTAATCTCTATTTTTTGACAGCGCCGAAAAAATTAGAATTCAAAATTTTCCAACGTCCATTGGCCTATTTTCAACATTCGATTATAAAGGTCTACAGGCTATCGAGTGCAAAATTCTTTGAATAAAGGGATGCCCAACCTTTTCGGGGCTCAAAAAGCAAAAACCATGCCGCGGGCGGGGGTCGAACCCGGGACCACCGGTTTGTAGGACTGGATGCTATCCATTAGGCCATAGTGGCAAGCCATTGCGTGGGATGGGGACGCCACAAGAGGGAAAGGTGTCCGAATTCTGTGCGGAAATGCGCCCCATTGCCACACAAAATTCGCGCGTCTTTTGTACTGCACGGAATCCATAACTATATATTTGCCTCCAAAACCTTGGGTATCCCTTTAAAGACCTTTAAAGATACCTTTTTCCAGAACCTCGGAAGGCGGTCGCCCATTTGAACGTCTTCTCCGCGACGTCCCCTGCGGTCCAATATTCCCGGATTGCCACAACTTTGACGCCGGCCATTATTCGTGGGTCCCCGGGGCGAAATTTTCTTATACCCCTACGGCAAAACCAACTCCACTCTCACCCCAAAAAAACGTGACCACGCATGGGGGGAAGGTTATGAATATGCTAGCAACCCTTAGGGCCAAATATTCGTTGGCGATTGTTCCCCTCGAGTAACCCGAGGCTTTATGTCTTTATGCCCCGGGAGCAGAATGCTTGCGTTACGTAAACCGACCGGAATTTCTGAGATGTGGCAAAAATTAGGAAAAATCAGCGTCTAATGGTGGAACGCCAATTGGAAACACACGGAATCCAAAATATAAAAATTTCCGCAAAACTTATATAAATTTTCGATTTTTGGTAAATAATATGGGACCAAAAATGAGAGAAAGTAGTACTTTTTTGATAATCTGGTTTTTGTCTTCTTCTAATACCTAAAATTAATCATTAAAAAATTAACAATAAGGAAATACTTGTTTTTTTCAGATGGGAGCGAAATGCAGGAATGATGGACCCATACGTCGGAAAGTATAACTTGTTGGTGGCAGATTCTGAGATTCCGGACCCTAACGATCGAATTTTGCGCTTATCGGTAAGTAGCGGATAGCATCGTGCATCGTTAAGAGCGTATCGTAGCGTAGCCAGATTACGATAAGGCCACGCTCATCATATTTTCAGTTCCGACCCCCGGCCCTCGATGGCTTTTTGGCTCCGATCAAGTCAAAGCTGCTGCAAACCCATATGCACGAGACCGAGTTCGAGCCGTTGCTGGCCGTGGCGTTGCGACAAGATCTTTTGAACGATTTGGTAAAGCAGAAAATTCCAGGTTTTGAAGATTTTTTAGGCTAGCCAGCTGCTGCGAGTCAAGCCGCTTTCTGGGGATAAGCATGATATGCTGATCGAGGTGTCGCAGCTTATCGTCGAGTTGGATAATGTGAGTTATATATAAAAATCGCCTTATAGTTGGCCACAAAATACCGTATACATTTCTAGGTAACTCGCCAAATTGCGCCCTCCAGGACCGTAATGCCACTTGGAGAGTTTGTGCAAATGAATCAGATGGTGAGCAGATCCTTCCGTGCTTTCTCTCTCTCTCTCTCTCTCTCTCTCTCTCTCTCTCTCTCTCTCTCTCTCTTTCTCTCGCTCTCTCTCTCTCTCCCGCTCTGATCTCTAACTTCCAGATAAACCTGACCGAATACCTCAGTGGCGATTTCTCCGGCATCCTCAGCTGGGCCAGTGGCGACCCGATCATCGTCTACGACATTGAATACTTCCAACAATTGGCCCAGATCGGTACTGATCGCCTTATATTTAATTTTAATTTTCTAATAATAGCAAGCCGGTCCCCGAAACGCGCTCTCGCCAACTACCTGACGCTGGTGGCCGGGATAAATCTTCGGGATAACCTGGTGCTCGCCGGGGAGAATGCAACGTAGGTTTTTATGAATTTAAGGGGAAGGCCACATAGGGTTTCTTACTTTTGAACCATCAACTTTTCTGTAATCATCTTTCTGAGGCCCAAAAAAAATCGCTGAAGCATAAGAAGTTGACGTTTTCTAGGCGTAAAAAATGTTCCAAGGGGATTACTGTATTTTTCTCTGTGCAATAGCGTCAAAAATGATCCCCATCCCGATACATCCAAATTTAAATTGCCCCAAACTTCCACTAATCAAAATCTTTACTACCCTAATCCCAACTACCCCGGACCGATATAACCAGATTTATCCGGCTGCGGCCAAAATGGATAACTCCGGAAGTCCCGGAAATCCCAATTCCTACAGGTGGCGAGAGTGTGCCCGCGGGGTACGGGAAACGGACCTGTTTGCCCATCTCTACGTGACGAAACGGCACAACATCTCGATGGCGGCGGTAAGTCTAAGGGGGCGCCTACAATTTCCGGTGGAATCCTAGTGGCACCCAAGGTGTACCTGAAATCCAGAGGAATTCAACGCAGAGTGAATGAGAAAAGATCCGCAAATAGCCAGCGAAAAATCGAAAAAATGTTAGGTTTTTGTGCGCTACAGTAATCAGTGCGAACGGCAGCGGCGTCAAAAATGGGTCCAAATCACTTATTGTTAGTGTAATCGATTCGGGTCTTTTGTTAGGATTCGCAGGGGTGGGACTATTCCTGCGGGGGGGGGAACCAATTTTTTCCTGGCGGTCCCGGTTGACCTAGTAATCAAATATAGAGTGTTTTCAAATTGTTTTTAATAACTTTTAACAATGATTAAAGTAGAAAAACTTTCAAAAAAAGTTAGAAAAATGCTTTGGAAAAAGTCGAACATTTG